AAGCCCTTTGAGTGTAAGGTGTGTGGAAAATCCTTTAGAACCTCATTGTGCCTTCGCAGTCATGTTCGAATTCACAGTGGGATAAAACCCTTCAAATGTAAGGATTGTGGGAGAGCTTTCATTCAGAACTCAAACCTCACCAAGCACATCCTCATCTACAGTGGAGAGAGATCCTATGAATGTAAAGAGTGTGGGAAAGCCTTTGTCAGGTCCTCCCGCCTTAATGAACACATGAGAACTCACACCGGAGAGAAACCTTTTCAGTGTGTCAAATGTGGGAAAGCATTTGCTATTTCCTCAAATCTTAGTAAACATCTGAGGATTCACACTGGAGAGAAGCCCTTTGAGTGCAAGGAATGTGGGAAAGCATTTACACACTCCTCCAGTCTGAATTATCACATTCGGACTCACATTGCCAAGAAACCATACCCGTCTGTAATGTGGGAAAGCCTTTAAGTTTCCCACATGTGTTACCCTTCATATGTGAATCTACACTTGAGGAAAACCCTAGGAATGAAAACTGTGGGAAATCCTTCAGGTATTCCAATTCATTTCAAGTACATGAAAACACTCACAGTGGAGAGAAACCCTGTGAATGTAAGGAGTGTGGGAAAGCCTTCAGTTCTTTAAGTTCCTTTGAGAATCATGAATGAAGGCATACTGAAGAGAAACTGTCAGTGTAAGGGATGTGGGAAAGCTTAAATGTATCCTATTCACTTTGAAGACACAAATGAACTCTGGGGAGAAACCTACAAATGGATGGCATTTAGGAATATCTTTACTCCTATCTCAGGTCTTAACAAACATGTAAGAATTCACAGAGGAGATGATTCTGTATCAGGCCAAGACATGAAATGATTTTGCTATATTCCAAAGACTCCCATCAGAAATTTTCCTGGAGGAAAGCTGTATGAATGTAGAGGATCTGCAGAATTCCACACAACTTAATATGCATATGTGAACTCACACTGAAGAGAAAGTTTATGATTTAAAAAATGTGATTTCCCTCTTCAGTTCGTATTTGAAGCCAAACTCCTGTTTCCTCATGCTGTAAGGGTACTTGGATTTCAAAAATATCATTAAAATGAGGCTGAAAAAGAAAAGATAACTGAAGTACACTGGCACATGCCTATAATCTCAGCATCTTGAGAGGCTGAGGCAGCAGGATCACAAGATGGAGCCTAGCCTGGGCAATTTAGTAAGACAGTGTCTCAAAATAAAAAATAAAAAAAACAGTTGAGGACATATCTTGGTAAAAAGCCCTGTGTTAAATCCCCACTCCTGGGGCAAAAAAGAGAAAATGCAAGGAATGGCACAGGTGGAGAGCAACCATTTGAAGATGCCAAAAGGTGACTATTTGCAATCCAAGGACAGAAGTCTGGAGTGGAAGCCAGCCCTGCCCACAACTTGATATGGGACTTTCACACTCTAGAAGTGAAAGCCAATAAAAATTTCTTTTATAGCCATTCAGTCTATGCCGTTTTATTATGACAACCCTAGGGAATTAATGTGGTAAAGAATGTGGGAAAGGCTCTAGATATTCCATGAGCCATGAAATTTGTATATAAATCAAGTGTGCAGAGAAGCCTTAAGGGTATAGGGGATGTGGGAAAGCCTTCCTTTAGTTTCAGTTGATTGGAAGAGATAGGAAATCAACACACAAGAGCAGCTCTGTGAATTGAACATATGTGAATAGTTTCTGTTTTTTAAATTCATATCATATCATTTATACCTCTTCTGTAAACAGACCCTGTGTGCAAGTAAAGAATTTAAAGAAAAGGAACATTGTTTTCTACAAAAGGAATGTGAGTTTATATATAAAGTATAGAACTCACAGTGTAGAGTAGACCCCCCTTCTCTTTTGAATGGGGTTTTCATAAGCCCTGGCTGGTCTCAAACTCATGAGCTCAAGCAGTCCTCTTATTTCCACCTGTCAAGTGCTATAACTACAGGTGTATACCTGGTTCACAAGGCATATTTTGCACTTCTAAAGCTACTGCAAATGCCCTGGGAGCCAAGCATGGTGACATACACTTTTAATCCCAGCACTCTGGGAAGCTCAGGCAGGAAGATCTCAAGTTTGAGGTCAGCTTGTGCAATAAAAGGCCTGAGATGCTTATTGGCTTCTCTTGTCAGAAGGCCATCTCTCACTGGGAGCCCCCGGTGCACAGTGATGTCTGAGTACCCAGCCCCGTTTGGCCTGCCTGTTAATATCTGCCCAGTTACAGGCCATTCATTGTTGTTTGTTATTGGCCATGGTAGGATATGTGCTTATCTTACATAAGGCCCTAGGTTTAAGCCCCTAGTTCTGCCTGGCAACTCCCAGAGAAGTTTTTTAGTATTAGGTGTTTAAATCATTTTTAAATCTGTGGAGGAGTGGTGAATAAAGTTTTTTTTTTACTATGATGAATTCCTTGATACAGCATCTAATTTCTTACTAAATGAAAAATCTAACATTTACCAGTTGATTGAAAATGTTTTAAGCTTTTATTTCTGATGTATAAACCTAATATTAGTAATAAAACTTCAGGCACTTTAAGGTGTTTCTATTTTTTAGTGAGTATTTTTTTTTAATCACTGCTACTCAAACTGGTTTTGAACCCTAACTCCTGTCTCTGGTTAATTAAATAAAGGTAATAATAGATCCCTCTTTTTTGTTGTTTCATACATGTTAGTACCCTACCAGTGAGCTACACTCCATAAACTCCCTTTACCTCTTAGAGACTGTGGTAAGGTCAGGTGCTGTGGTACAAACCTATAATCCCAGCATTCTGGGAGGCTGAGGCAGGCGTTCCCAAGTTTGTGCCAAGCCTGGGCAATTTAGGGCAGCACTGTCTAAAAAAATGGTAAAATATGTATCACAAAAAATTTACTGTTTTAGTAATTTTACTGTTTTAATAATTTTACTTTGTATTTTTAATTAATTATTTTTTGAGGGTCTCACTATGCAGTTCAGGCTGGCCTTAAAACTCACTGTGTAGCCCCAAGTGGCCTCACACTCCTAGTGATTCTCTTGCCTCAGCATCCTCGGTTCTGGGATTGTAGGCATGCATCACTATGCCCAGCACAAATTTTAATACTCACCTATAGGTATTAGACTGATACTGTTGTGCAAGTTTCACTGTTATCAGTCCCCAGAACTTTGATGTTCCCAAAATGAAACTGTGTACCATCAAACACCAACTCTCCAATCCTCTCAACCCCAGCCCCTGTTAGGATGTTTCCTCAGAGTAGAGGAGTGCAGCAATTCGGGATGACTAAGAACGAATGTGGATAAACCTGGTGTCCTAATTGGCATGAAAATAGAGGATCTTGAAAGGCCAGAGACTGTTCCATCAATTCCCAGAATAGTAACGAGCTAAAGTATGTTGTCTGGAGAATGAGGGGAGGGTGGAAGAGGTTGCCCCCATACTTATTAGGCATGAGATGCTTTTAACTTCCACCATGAGGTTTATCCCAAATTCAGTATTGATGGTCCGGGGGCTTCTGAGACCTCTAGGGTGGGGCAGGTCAGTCAACTGACGCCCAACCCAGATCAGAATCAGTGCTGGTACTCAGCAGGAAGCCCTGCGAGGACACACCTGAGGTGGCACAGTTTCCCCAGGACAGTCGAACTTCCAGTGAGGATCCCCACATGTTGGGTATGGCTTGGGAGGGGTCCAGCATGGGGGCTCTCTTTGCTCAGTGGCCAGTCTTTTTTTATGTTAAAGAAAATAATAAAAAATAACACTAGCAAAATACCAACAACATAGACAAAAACAAAACACAAACAAATGATACAGGATTTCAGAACAAAATGATAGGAGTGGTTGTCATATTACATATTGTTACCTTCAACAAAGTTGTTCAGATTACCAGATGTAAGAATGCAAGACTGATCAAACCATTAAAGGGAATAAAAAATAAAAATAAAAAACCCATTAGAAATGATAGTTGCACGAGACAAGTTGGTAGGAATTCTCCAATAGTTGTTATATTGCATATTGTTGTCTTCAACCTAGTTGTTCAGATTACCAGATATAAGCATGCAAAATTGGTCAAAAAGAAAAAAAAATAGGCATTAATTGTTCCTTTCAATAAACCATTAGACTTCAGCACACAGTTATCCCAGCTATCCTTCTAGTGGCCAGTCTTATGACACTGAAAACAGGGTCCTGAAGGTGTAGACCCTTTTTGTGTTTCCCTAGAAATATTATGAGCCCCCTGACCAGCCTTTGATTTTTTTGGTGGGTTTCTCACAGTGGAGGCAAGTCAGTCTATGTCAGAGAGGTG